CACAACTAACCGTGGCTGGTTCTTCGCGTAACCTTTCACCATGAGGATCAGATTTGACAGAGGGTAAAGTTCCAACCATCGATCAAGATGATGTGTATAACTGCAAAACATTCATGAGAAGGAAGTCATTCACGGTTGCGCAACTACTAGTGCTTCCCCGCAGAAATATGACATTATAATAGGATAACTGACCGTCCTCCTGACAGACATCGCTGCCTCACTTTTCTCAACTGTTGAGTTGAAGCATCCAGCACTTTTTCCATACTGCCTGCAGCAGCAACCGTTGTGTCATTGTGAGCCAACATATGCTAAAGAAGAGAACTTTGAATCATTTTCGTATAGAAGTACCCAAAAACTCACTTGATACCACGAGTAAGCTCTTCTGCGGATCATATAAAATGACAACAATCTTTGCATTAGGAATAAGAGCAAACGCTTGCTTTGCAGCGGAAGGATTATCAAAATATGTTGCACTCTTATCAATACAACGTGAGCAGTGTTGAACCTCTTCGAATACCTGAATCCGAAAGATATTCTTACGTGTCATAAAAAAAATAAAGTGCTACGTCCAACTATTTCTCACCATTCTATTCCTTTGTGATAATTCGCACCACCAAAAACTGAAGCTCCTCGAAAGACTCCGGAATCGGCTCATTTGTTGATACGTTGGGATGCATTGACAAAAACGTTGCAAGAGCCGTAGTGCCTAAGATAGAAGAAGCTTTTTAAATGCTTCCTTCGACTACAACCTCTACGCTCTACGAATGACAGAGGATGTGCGGAGATCACTAGTTTGGAAGTACAGGTGTGACTCAAAATGCGTTGAGAAGGAAGAAGAAAAAAGATCAAAGAAATTGTGGCAAAAAACAGTGTGCGCAAAAGGACATTTAAAGTACACATATACAGAAGAAAACCGTTAGGCCAATGCACGTATCTAGAAGAGAGAATCCCAACGTTTTCGAAGGAAATCTAAATGGCTAAGGATGAGCACCAAGAACTTCTCTAAAGAACTGTAAAAATAAATGTCACAATAGAGGAAGTAAAGCCTCAACAATTCAAGACTTACCGGTTTTCTGAGGACCGACAATGAGAGTTGTCGGAAGCGTAAAGTTTGAACAGTTCAACGATGGTGGTAAAATAGCTTTGTGTCGTGGGTCTTCACAAGGATTCTAGAAAGTTCCAAAACTAACTTCTACTGGTGTAGTGACACTTATCAAAACATGCATATAAAACTCATATGCAAATTGCAACAATAGCTGCGTGGAGGAACACCTTCGCAAAAGAGGGATGACGAAAACTGGGCGAATTTCGCAACTTCAAAGTGAACGACAAGCGGGTCACGTCGTACGCCAACGAACTACCGAGAAAAGAATCAACCGCAAGGAAGAAAAACTTATTTGAGGCGAGTCCAGTCATCTCTTTTGCTTGTTCTTCCCATGACATTTTTAGCGTGATATCAAAAACACTATACACTCTCACCCTCAGGGAACGACCTTTAAGTCGATCAGTTAGGGTTACACAAATCCATCCATACTTTTTCCATCATTTAAACCAAATTTAAGTGATACTCACACTCCATATAGGTACAGTTTCCTGAGGCATTAAAGAGAAATACATCCGTGCAGACTCAATTGGGCTCTGCCAACGCAGCTGAATATTTGTCCAGCAGCTGACAAAGCGTGCGAGATTATCGAACGTGAACAATGCTAATCGATCATGCGCAAAGTTCTGTTGATGTGTCATAAATATTGATATCTGGAAGTAAGCTTGTTCCTAACAGAAGAAGGAAATTCCGATCTTTTTAGCAAACTACTTCTCTCCTGCCAAACCCACCGGATTCATAAGTATCGTGAAGAAAAGCTCTCCACCATAAATCAAACTCGTAAGCTTTGAGAAGCCGCCTGGATAATTGTGGAAAAACTGAGTATGTGTGTAAAGACCGCAGGTTTGACGTGGGAGAACCTATAATTGAGAAATGTAGCAAACACGAGATTATCAAACTGTGCTAATGATGTGTTAATGCCTCCAACCGGCACCGGTGGAGAGGCAGTAAGGGTGGTGGGAGGCATGTGGTGCGACAATTCACATCGTCGAAATTAATCCACTTTTTCGCAAAGGAAAACTCCTTGGGGTGGGTATAAAAGCGGAAGCGAAATAGTTCATGCGTGCATGGGATTTACCTGTAGGGGATCATGGGCGTCTGAGTGACAGCAACAGTCATAATATTCGCCCCTCCCCCTCCTCTCTCCCGCACACACTTCATTGGATTAGACTCTTCCGACTACTACATCTGCTTTAACGAACTTTTTCAAATTGGTTTGTGTATTCGTCGATAAAATAATCTCCCTTCTGCAAATTGGTTCATTCCCTGAAGAAGAAATT